GGAATATCCTCTTCCCGAATTCTCAACTGATGATAGCCTGATCACAGGTCTATCTTGGAAAACACCTTAGCTCCTTTTAGCTAATCAAACAGGTCATCAATTCTGGGCAACGGATATTTGTTCTTGATTGTGACCTCATTAAGGGCACGATAATCAACGCACATCCTCTTGGTCTTGTATTTCTTCTCCACAAAGATAACCGGAGCACCCCAAGGTGAAGTACTCGGTCGGATGTACCCTTTCTGCAGCTGTTCGTCAACCTGCTTCTTGACCTCTGCTAGCTCATTAGCTGCCATTCTGTACGGCCTCTTGTAAATTGGAGCAGTCCCGGGTGCCAAATCGATCCGGAACTCGATTTCTCTCTTCGGTGGCATTGTAGTGAGGTCTTCTAGGAACACCTCAGGATACTCTTGTACTATAGGAATATCCTCCAACTTCCTGGGACTTTTCTCCACTGTTTCTGTCTGACCCACAATAGCAGCCTGATTAAGACTCGCTACGGACTTCTGCGATGCTGGGGAAAGGAAGGTGATCTTCTCCCCTCTGTCGTTGGTTAGGGTGATGGTGCGGCTTGCGCAGTCAATCACTCCCTTGTTTCTGGTCAACCAATCCATTCCGAGAATGACATCTAGGTCTTTAGATTCGAGAAGGACGAGGTTGGATAGAAACGGTGATCTTTTGATCTCTATAGTCACCGAGGGGCAGTAGTGTGCTGTCCTCATATCATTTCCAGGGGTATGAACCTGCATCGGTATTTTAAGTTCCACTACCGATAATCCATGTGTCCTAGCAAATCTTTTGGAAATGAAAGAATGCGAGGCACCCGAATCAAAGAGAACTGTTGCTGGATATGAGTTCACTGGAAACGTGCCCAACACAACCTTTGGTGCTGCCTGTGCTTCCTCTGCAGACACATGATTGGCGCGGGCCTGGATGAACCTGGGTCCAGTGCGATTCAGCTTCGGACACTTGCCAGCAAAGTGGTCGTGCTTGCCACAGTTGAAGCAGGGTCCTGGCTTTCCTACAGCCCCCTTCTTGGGTTGTTCTGACTGAGCTGACACAGCTGGCGGATCTGACTGAGCTGGTGCCATTAGTGGGGGTGGAGTCGAGTTGTGGTTGTGTTGCTTACTGTTGTTGTGACTGCCACCGTTGTAATCGTTGTTGAAGTTACTCGGGTGATAGGGACGGTGCTGACAGACGATCGGGGTGGAAGGCCCACCTAGCTGTCCCGTCATGAAGCGAGGCTTCTGATTGTTCCCCTGAGGAAAGCTGATCTGAGCTGCCTTTCTTTTTCGGTCCATTTTGTTGCGTTGCTCTTCCTGGCGGATAGCCTTGTCCACAAGCTTCTCAAAGTTCTCATAGACTCCGGAGATTAGCTGGTTGGTCAATTCATCATCGAGCCCAAACAAAAACTTCTCCTGCTTCTCAGCATCGGTGCGCACGTCCTCAGGAGCGTAGAGCACGAGGCGGTTGAACTCGTGCAGGTACTCTGTAACCGTTCTGGTTCCTTGTTGCAATGCATGGAACTCTCTCTTCTGTTGTGCCATAATCCCTTCAGGAATCTGTGGCTTCCTAAAGTTTTGACAAAACTCTACCCAAGTACCCTTCGTTGCATCTGGACGGGTCACCACGTAGTTATCCCACCAGGCAGAAGCGGGACCTTGCAACTGGTGTGTAGCAAAAGCAACTTTCTCTTGGTCGTTGCATTGCAGTAGGTTCAGCTTCTTCTCAATAGCACGGAGCCAGTCGTTGGCCTCCATTGGGTTAGTGGTGCTTGAGAAAGTGGATGGCTGGATACGAAAAAAGTCTAACAGTTTGGACACGTGTGATCGTGGAGGACCAAACTGCTGGTTCTGTTGCGCCTGCTGCAACATCTAATGGTAATGTTGCTGCATCTGTTGCATCATCATTGTCATCATCTGAGTGACTGTTGGGTTCTCGGGCGGCGGAGATGAACTGATGCCAGGTGCACCACTGGTATGAGCTTCATCTGTCTGCTCTTCGCTGCCACTGGGGTCGTTGGAGTCACGGGGATCATTCCTTGTCTTCACCATCTGGATGAGGATAGGTAGAAATAAGAGAAAGGAAGAAAACAGATGGCTCGGAAACTAATCTTTCTTATAAAATTAAGTGCAATTATCTTAATCTTGATTAAAACACTGAAAAAGAGGCACGCAATTCCTAATTAAGGCTGTCATACCACTCACACATGATATCGACCGCCGACTAACCCACAAGCAACAAACCTAAACACAAAAACTAGCACGCAAACAGACTAAGAAGACGATAAAGCTAAGGGCGGCGACTCTGAAGCTCGGAGCGGCGCTTGCGATCGAAGAACAGGTCTGACTTCTAAGGTAGACAAGGGATAGGAATCAATGCATGCTCAAATCCAAATTTAAACAAGGCAACAAATGGCCCAAACAACTAGCCAAGCATGATGATTTTTATGCATGGAACATTTTTCATGAACCCAGACAAAAGACACTAATGCAACTGACTAAACAATAACTTAATGCATGAAATAAATGCATGATAATAATGATTCGCATAAAGACTGCATCCCATCGAATCTAGACACAACTTAATGCATACCACCTAACAATTCCCGACTGACTGCCAAATAAATTCCAAATAAAGTTTTGCTAAAACCCTGGACTATCCCTAGTCAAGAGATCCGATTAAATAGGCGACCAAGATTTTCTCCCAAAATCAAAAGATCAAACCCCAAAGTTTCCCGAAACAAATCCAAGTGAAAAAGGCATGTGCATATGAAAAGGGGTTCAGAGGGCTCTTAGGTTTTCCAGTTGGCTTGTCCTACGGTCAAGGTCGGCTCTGATACCAACTTGTCACGCTTAGAAATTCTGGTTCGTGAATTTCTGGGCGTGACACGTCCCTGGTCAATTAAGGACCGAGCCATGAAGTTAAGCATGAAACGACCCCAATACAACCGTACTTCTCGAATGGGTAGTGGAGTAAATAGTTGAGCGAAGGCAGTATCCATGCATAGTGGTTTCTTTTAGGTGTGTGAATCGACAAGCAGTCTGCTGGCGGATGCCTTGTTAGGAGGTGGCCAGAGGCTGACTTGCAGTCTACTGGCGGTACGCCCTGTCAGGAGGGCCAGAGATTGACTTGTAGTCTACTGGCGGATGCCCGGAACGGATGGCCAATTTGCTGGCGGATGCCCGTTACGGATGGCCAGAGACTGACTTGATAAGACTACGAGAAGGAACCCAAAAGAGGACAGCTGAAATGGATTGGGTTCAACTACCGGATGCAATGTTAGGAATGCATGTGTGAGTTTTCCCTCCCCGGGAGCGCCAGAACTCCTCTCACTGCTAGAAATCGTATTACGCCTAGAGTGCATGAGGATTTAAAGTTCATGGAGCGGGTACTGCCAATGCGAGGTTATCGAAAGGCTTTGCCGTGACGCGTCTCATGTGTTGGGGTGAAGCTCATGTGTTGGGCAGTCGCGGAGTACGGGTAAAGTGTACATCCACTGCAGTGTGAGTAAACCAAATCTATTCGAATAGCCGTGCTCGCGGTTATTGAGAACCGGGACATGTATTATACTTGGCTAGACTCTAAATTCTTAACTTGTGTGGGATGGTATATTGCATGATGATTTTTATGCTGATGGAGCCACTTCCTGAGAGGAGGGAAGGTGGACGTCCTTAGAAAACCATGACGACTCAATGGCGGGAAGCTATCGTTGGGATCACAATGGATGGTGGACAGAACCGTCGTTGTTTAATGTGAACACTGGTATTAAAATTTGATCAGTCTATGCTAGGTCTTAGGCTTGTGAAAAGATTTGCAAAACCTGCTTTACGCAAAAGAACTTGAAGCCATTCCTTGAAATACCCTCTCTCATACGCATTGTTGTTGTAGTGGCTTGCTGAGTACGGTTGGTACTCACCCATGCTATTTATATATCTTTTAGGAGTGTGTTGAAGAAAAGCCCTTGTTAGTACGCTTGCGTACCTAACAAGATGATCGGAGTGTGGTCTTGTTCTAGGTCTCGTTCCCCAGTCGACTGCCTGTGGCATGTTAACCGGGCCCTTATATTATTATTGTCTTCCGCTGTTATTCTCTGATAGTTGTTGGCCTACCTAGCCCTAATGTAAGTATTTAACTCTTTTAGCCTGAATTTATTCGTGATATGTTGTGATCCAACTATGTATGTGTGTACCAACTACTGATCTAGGGATTGGTACGAATAAACACAGAAGATTTCCGATTTCCAAAATCGGGGGTCTACATTATCGGACACTAAATACACTTTCCTAAAGATAAAAGAAATTAATAAACGCTTCCTAATTAATAGATAAAATGTCATGCCATATCCTCCTTAAACTCGGCCTCTTCTAAATAAACTTCCTTTATTCAGTTAATTTCCTTAACCGAACCCATCAAGAATCTGACTACTGATGACTGATAGTGCCCATCGGCCGATTCCAGAACTCTGAAGCCGATACTGACTCTAGGCCAATAATGACTTCGGAGCTTACTAAATTTTGGCGTTAACACATGTTCCCTAATTTTAAAGCATGAGAACTCATGCTTCAAAATTATCTTCTTTCAGATCTTGATAACTCCAAAATTAATCCTCTGTTGCTTCTTGCCATCGGCTTTCATGAGGCGATACCGTTTTTGTTAGATCAGTTAGGCTGTCAAACTCGTGGAAAAAGAATTTGTCCTTGATAGCTCCTTGATATGGAGCTGTGCCAAACAAGATTAAATGAGATTAGAAAGATGTAGCTTGAAATTCATGTGGATTTATTTTTTATGAGATATGATGTATTCATTTTTTTCTCTATTCAACGTTTTCTGAATTGTCCTTTCCATAAAGCGGAAATGTTGCTTTCCACGAAGCCGTAAAGTTGCTATCCAATATGTGGCATTTGGTTCTGATTAAGATGGAGATGGAGTAATGACACGAAAAGAAAAAAAAAAAAAGACACCACAACGTACTACTCCTACCTGCTACTGTACTGTCGCCATCTCGTTCACAGCGGCACCGATGCTTTCACCTCCCAATTTAATCAGCTCGGCCGACCACCGGCAACCACGAGCCGCCTCCGCGCCTCCCCTCGGCGCACACAGCAGATCGGCGAGGTCTGAGCGCATCGTCCTCAACACCGAGTAGACCGGCCGGCCGCGGCGGCCATCATCGCTCCTACCATGGCCAAGGAGCTCCTCGCCTTCCCCGGTGTCGCCGTACCGTACGTGCAGCAGTTTCTTGACAAGAACGATGGCATACTGAAGTGATGCCAAATTGCCAACTGCCAAGTTTTCTTGTGCTTCTTTTCCAGGTTAATTTCACAATATCTCTGCATCTTTATTTAGGTTCCCAGTCTTGCGCATCAACCAAGAAAAGAATCAATGGACGTTTTGCAGGTGCCTTAGCTCCGGGAGCACGATCCATTCTCGATGCTAGGCAGTTAGCTTTTTCTCCCCTTTAGCTCCTTTTTGCTTTGTCAGGCAGGGGAGGCAGTTTTGCTTTGCCTCTATAAGAGACAGTGCGATTATTAGGCTGGGCAAGTGTTAAACCGTTGCTGGGATTTGTTGGATCTATCAAAGTTGGTCGGGTGGTATCTCTTGGGTGAAATAGTACTACTGCCAGGTACTACTCTAATTCTTAATTATTCAGTGAATAGATGATATCCTTGTTTTCTTTTTTGCAGCAAATAGTTGGGAATTGTGTATTGCAAAACTAGTGGATCATTTGTAAAAACTATACTTTTTTTTTCATTTTGTTTTAATATATGGATGTCAGCCAGTATAGCTATACAGCTAGTTTGCCAGGAGCTCAGATGGAGAGGCGGCTCCTGGAGGCAGCCATGGTTGGCAGTGCCACATCAATGAAGGAGATGGCTGCACAGGATCCAAGCCTGCTGCTTGGAACAACTCCTCAAGGGAACACCTGCCTCCACATCTCCTCCATCCATGGCCATGAGGGATTTTGCAAGGATGTGCTGACGCTAAACAATTCTCTTCTCACTGTCGCAAACATGGATGGTGAGACACCACTGCTCACTGCCGTGACAAATGGACACATGTCTTTGGCCTCTATTCTACTTGAATGCTGCTGCACACTAGGGTTCAGTGAGGCAATCTTGCAACAAGACAGAAATGGTTGTAATGCACTGCACCATGCCATTCATTGTGGTCACAAGGACCTTGCACTGGAATTGATATTAAAAGAGCCTGCCCTATCAAAAGCTGTGAACAAATACAGTGAGTCACCAATGTTCATCGCGGTAATGAGAGATTTTACAGATGTTTCTGAGAAACTGTTGGGAATTCCTGGATCTAGCCATGTTGGAACATATGGCCACAATGCCTTGCATGCTACTGTGAGAAATGGAAATGCAGGTGAGAATTATATGGACTATGGACTAAATTGGGCGTATTATTTATTTATTATTTCAGAAAAACTGGCAACACTATTTTTACAACTCAATCTTGTGCAGGAAATTAGATTCTTTACTATGTGCCCAATATTATTCGTCATTCCTTTGGTTTGTTAACAAGCAAATTGCTGCCTCGATTTGTTTTCAGTTATGGCTAAAAAAATTTTGGAGGGTCGTCCTTGGCTGGGGAAAGAACGAACCAGAGAGAGGAAGACCCCAATCCTGATGACGGTAATTTGGGACAAGATAGACGTGCTTCGTGTGTTGTTGGAACATGATGTGCTTTTAGGGTATGAATGCTATGATGATGGTGGTAATCTGAGCCCTCTTCTTGTTGCTGCTGCATATCGAGGTCATGTTGATGTTGCTCAAGAGCTTCTTAACCACTGTCCAGATGCTCCCTATTGCGACAGAAATGGTTGGACATGCCTTCATGAAGCTGTAAAGGAAGGTCAGACAGAGTTTGTGGAATTTATCCTAAGGACACCACAACTTCGTAAGCTCATCAACATGCGAAATAACAAGGACGGACAAACTGCTCTGCATCAAGCTGTCCGGATGTGCAATCCTAAAATTGTTGCCTCGTTGTTGTCTCATAAAGACACAGACTTCACACTGAATGATCACAAAACTGGCCAGTCAGTAATTTGGCAATTATGTTTGGGTTCAGAGCGTGCCAAGACTTTAAACTGGGTATGTTGCAACTAGCTACCTTCATAACGCTTCGTGTATACACCTACGTATAGACCTTTTGAAGAAGAAATACATAAAGTGAATGCAGCTAATTCAGGATAAAAAAAATGAGAATTGAAGGAAAGCAATAAAATGAAAAAAAAATCTAGTTGAGTGTTATGGAAGGCATGCTGCCCCCACAATTTCATTTTTTTTTGTTTTCATTCAGTTTTATGACCTGTATCACTTTGCCCTCATGAACATGCAAATCACTAGAACACAAATCTCATGTAGAGGCACGCTATTAGAGGCATTTTGCACAAGGCATATCAAACGGTCGTGGGATGGGAGATGTTTTTTAGGTATTGTATAAGCAGTTTCCCAAACAAAAATCGTGTAGTCGATTTTTTTTGACAAACAATTTTAAAAACCAAGGTATTGATTACTATTTACCGAAGTTTAAATAACATCTTTCTTTGGATTGGAAATTGCATGTATTCCCCTATTATATTGAAAATATGTCTACTTTACAATCCTGAACTTTCATAAACTTCAAACAAGATACTAGTCAATCTTACGCCATTTAGATGCATGGAATGGGTATGTATAGTAGTGGCATATTTCAAATAAATGAAAAAATATTTTTTTTGGAATAATATAACTGAAAAATTATAATTACATGATTCTAAATATGTGAATAGTAATAACATATTTTCAAACCAAAGAATTTGTAATGGTATGGATCTAATTAACCCTTACTTTTATACTGCAGAATGAAGTGTCCATGCTTATGACTAAAGCTGATCCTGAAGCTGCAACCACGCTTCACCGTCAGTTCGCAAGGAAACGACTAACTGATGAATTAGCAAGGAATGTTAAGTCACTCACTCAAACATACACAAGCAACACTTCGCTAGTGGCTATTCTCATGGCGACGATAACCTTTGCCGCAGCCTTCACCCTGCCTGGGGGATACAGCAACGATTCTGGAAGCGAGGGACTTCCTGTCATGGCAAAGAAGTTAGCGTTTCAAGCATTCTTGATCTCTGACACCGTAGCAATGTGCTCCTCGCTTGCCGTCGCATTCATATGCATCCTAGCAAGGTGGGAGGATCTTGAATTCTTGCTTTACTACAGATCCTTTACGAAGAAGCTTATGTGGTTTGCATACATGGCGACCACTATAGCGTTTGCAACGGGTTTATACACCGTGTTGGCCCCACGAATGCTGTGGTTAGCTGTTGGAATTTGTTTCCTTTCGGTTTTACTGCCCATTCTCACTAAGCTGCTAGGTGAGTGGCCTGTCGTGAAGCTCAGATTTCGTTTGGGTAAGACTTTCAAGACTGATCTCCTTGATATGGTATGACGTCATCAAATTTATATTATTTGTTCTGCTTTCCAACACTACATATAAGTTCATGCAAAATGTATGTTGTAATATATACATTTTATTTTGGTGATATGTCTAGAAGATATCATGGAGAGTTGGAGACGATTATACCAGAGACAATATTTATGAGTTACTCCCTCTATCTCAAAATATAAGACATAATTATTTTTTTCACATGTCTCATAATATAAGGCAGGCATGCATGCATACATTAACTATAATACCTCTTGGTTATTTAAATTTGGCTTATTTTAAATCATCTACCATTAAGCTCCCCAATCACATTGCTTGCATGTATTGATGTGATTTAATCAAGGGGGTGGTCTTTGTGTTAGGAGTGGTTGACCTTTATATTTTTGGGATGGAGGAGTAATGAACAAAGTGTTACTCTATCTCTTGAATAATATATCATTTACAAATCTGGAGAAACTTTCATTCAAAATCTAATGTTAGAGTGCTAGATTACACACACATATTTATGTTTGGGCCTAGAAATCCCAGCACATCCTTGTAAGTGGACCTAGACTTTAGTTAAATTCTGAACGGTGTACAGGGATGACCTGGTGAGTAGGGCTGTCAACGAGGAGAGCTTGAGCGAGCTCGCCTGCCTAGGCTCGAGCTCGATACAAGCTCGAGCAAAGCTTATAAAATATTCGAGCTCTCAAGCAGGCTCGGCTCGAGCTCGACTACCACTACTACAAAAAACCGTTTTTGCAAACGGGCCGGAGCGATCATCACATGCGGTTGCGCCAACCGCATGCGCCAAATCGTCTGCAAAAATGCAAATCTTTGCATGCGGCCAGGGCACCCGCATGCAAAAATGGGATTTTTGCATGCGGTCGCTTATACCGGCCGCATGCGAAAATAAATTCAGCAAACAAAAAAAATCCAAAACCCCAAAAAAAAATAAAAATCCAAAAAATCCCAAACCCTAGCCCGCCGTCCACGCCGCACGCCGTCGTCGCCCCCGCCGGATCCGTCTACGCCAACATCGGATCCGTCGCCCCAGCCGCCCGCCGTCGTCGCCGCCGCCGCTTCCGTCTCCCCCGCCCCCGCCATCGTCGCCCCCGCCGGATCCGTCTCCCCCGCCGCCCGCCGTTGTCGCCCCTGCCGGATCCGTCGGCGGCAGCACCGGATGCGTCGCCCCAGCCGCCTGGCGTCGTCGCCGGCGGCGGATCCGTCACCCCTGGCGCCCGCCATCGTCGACGGCACCGGATCTGCGCAGTGCGGCGGCGCCACCCGAGGCGGCCAAGCCGCCCCTACCGCAGCGGCGTTGAGGAAGAGGGAGGGTCGCCTCATCGTCGTCGGTGAGGAGGGGATCACGGGCTGCCGAACCGAGGCTGCCAAGCTGCCGCCCGCCGCCGCCGTAGCCGCGCCGCCCGCCGCCGCCGCTGTAGCCGCTCCCTATGGTGGCGGATCCGGCCCTCCCAAGGGCGGCGCTGCCGGATCCGCCACCTGCGCCGACGCCATTACCATCCGCCGCCCAGCCGCTCTAAGAGAGGGAGAGGGAGAGAGGGAGAGAGAGGAGAGAAAGAGAGAGGGAGAGAGAGGGGAGAGTAATAAATTAATAGAGGGAGAGAGAGGAGATGAGGTAGAAAAATTTTGAAGTGATGGGATGGAAAAAAGAGTGGAGAGAGATGAAAAAATTGGGGGGTATTTTTGCATGCGAACCACTTAAGGAGCCGCATGCGAAAATAGTTATTAAAAAATAATTTAAAAATATGAGAACTTGTAATCAATTTTTTTAATACTAAATGAACTCAAATGAAAAGGTTGCCAAAAACAAAGTTGTAGAACTCGTTGAGATCTACCAATTTTCTTTTGGTCATTTCTCCATCCGAGTTTGATTGAACTATACAAAATTTGAACTTTATAATATAAGAAATTTAAATATTTTTTTTACATAGTAAATGATTTCAAATAGAAAAGTTGTCAACAACAAAGTTGTATAACTTATCAAGATCTGCAACTTTTGTATTGGTCATTTTTCCATATGACTTTGTTTGAACAGTTTAAATTTGAATTTCAAAATATGACAACTTCAAACAACATTTTCAAATACAAAATGATTTCAACTGAAAAAGTCATCAATAACGAAGTTGTATAACTCATCAAGATCTATAACTTCTATTTTGGTCATTTCTTTATCCGATAAAGTGATTTGTAATATTGTTCACAAAATGTACATCTCTTATAAAGTTGTATAACTCATCAAGATCTATAACTTCTATTTTGGTCATTTCTTTATCGGATGAAGAAATGACCAAAATAAAAGTTATAGATCTTGATGAGTTATTGTAACGACCCGCCTCTCCCAGGCCGGGCCCGCTTACATCTGATAGCTCTACACCAGCCATGCGCACCATGCCTGCGCAACTGCGACATACGCGCCCGTGAAACCGCGAGAGTCGGCTCTGATACCATTTTGTAACGAACCGCCTCTCACTGTTTCTAGCAGTGAGAGGAGTTCTGGCGCTCCCGGGAAAGAGAAGTCTCACACACATATTAAATTATGGCTCAAGTTAAGTTCTCCCTCTTACACACTTATGGCAGTCCTACTAATGGCGACACCGATGTAGGGCACGCCTCTCGGCCCTACCTCAACGGCTGTCCCACCGTAGCGCACCTGCCTCACTCAGGGGTGAACCATCTATGCAGGGATACTGCCTCCGCTCGGCTATCTACTCCGCAAGGTCTATACCCATACGAGAAGTGCGGTTGTACGAGGGTCGTTTCATGCTTAACTTCATGGCTCGGTCCTTAATTGACCGGGGACGGTACTAGCCTTTTCCAGATACCACCCAAATCCTCCGTCCGCCCCAGTCGAAAACAGTTATTTAGTTTATTTCTCCTTTCACAAATCATGTCCTCGATATCATGGCAATGTGGCGCTCATGTCTCCACATGCCGCATCTCAATTACCTTCCCAAAGATAATTGCCCAAGCATATAGCATTTGACAAATATGAGTATGCATGATTCTAGAATAGCATTTCTAAGCATTTATCATAGTTGACTAGGGACTCATACGTAAACATGGTTACGAAGGAATAAGGGGCAACCAATAATCAAGGCATGGCATAATCACAAGTAGGATGTTCATCATTGCATGCAATTTTATTTGTAAACAAAATAATTTCGCAATTGGGATCAACATGTTCAAGGAATAGTGATGACTTGCCTTGCTCAATGTCTTGCGGGTCTTGACCTTCGCTTGGATCCGCAACTCCCTCGGGCTCTATAGTTACGTGCGAAAATTGATTTGAATTCGGTTAGAATTCAAATAAAAATCCAAATGAATCCAAATGAAAGTCGAATGCGAAAGTCGATTTCTTTATATTTACTTTATTATTCGCGAACTAAGGCAAACCCAATTTCGATTCAAACTATTTTGCGGGTATAAATATTTTGTTGTCATAAGTTTTTAATTTAATCTACCCGAGCATTATATCCATATAATAGGTTAGAAATTTCTATCGTGAGCTAAATATCGGACGGAATCCTAGAAATATTATACGATTTAATTTAGTCTATGACTAAATGATTAAATATAATACACGGGTAAAATCCCTAGTAGTTAAATCCGAATTTCTACCGTGAATCGATTACTTATAGGGATTACCCATAAATAATCTATAATAATCCATAAGAATTCATCTATTCGTTTAGTTATTAACTACATCTAAATTATTATCGCGAATTGATTTCTTATAGAAATTGCCAAGAATAATCCATAATTTATATTAAATTTTGCAATTCTATGACTATAATTAATCTATAATTAAATTCCAATTATTTTAAATTTTCTAAACTTCCCTAATCTCCCTCTAATTTCCTGTTTATTTCCTTTTTCTTTTTCTCCCTTTCTTTTTCTTTTCTTTTTCTCTTTTACTTTCTCCTTTCTTTTCTTTCTTCTCTCCCGGCTCCTTCCTCCTTTCCTCTCTTTTCTTTTTTCTCTCCTCCCTCCCGGCTTCTTTCTATCTCTCTCTCTCTCGGCTCTTTGCTTCCCCGGGCGGCGACGGCGGTGGGCGCGAGGTGGAGGGGGGGGGGGAGACGGCTCACCGGCGGTGGCAGTGGCGGCGACGACGGCGACGGCGGCGCAAGGCGGCGACGCACGGCGCGGCGGCTCCGGGGCGACGGCGCGGCGGCTTCGAAGGTGGCGGCGCGGCGGCGCGACGAAGGCGGCGCGTGGAGAAGGGGAAGAGGGAGAGGAGGAGGGAATGGAGTGGGGTGGAGAAGGAGGATTGGGCCGGGGTTTTTATAGGGGAGAGGGGAAGAAAGAGAGGGGAAGGAGGAGGAAGGGTGAAACGACGGCGGCGCGGCGGCGCGGGGCGCGAGGCGGCGGGCTCGCGGCGCGAGGCGACGAGACGGCGCGCGGCGCGGCAGCGGCGATGGGACGCACGTAGCGACGGGACGTCGATGGCGACGGCGACAGCGGTGGCGCGCGGCTCGGGGCGGGATGCGATGGGCGGCGACACGACGACACGGCGCGACAGCGACAATAGGACGGCACGGCACGGCACGGCGCGGGCTTGATCGCGACAGGCGGCGACGCGGCGAAGGGACGGCTGCGCGGGGCTCGAGGCGATGCGGCAACGGGACGGCAGCACGCGCGGCACGGGGGTGGCGAAGTCGGCACGGGCTCGGGGCGGCTCGGCGACGTCGGCGCAGCGGCAGGAGGCGATGGCGACGGGCGGGCGGCTCGGCGATGGCGGCACGCGCGGTGATAGCGACGGCGACGGCAGAGGGGAGGCGGAGCGGCGCACGGCGCGCGGGGCGCGAGGGCAACGCGGCAAAGGAGGGGCTAGGGCTAGGGAACGCGATCGAACACCTGGGGGGCAATGAATAGTGACTTTTCCTATTTATCCCGATTTTAGTGTATTTCCCATATAAATTTGATTCCACAATTCCTAATTTTTGCATATATGCATTTTACTCAATATTTGTGTTATCTCAACTAATGAATTCACCCTAGATTAATATTACTCATATTTATTTTTATATAATTTATTTGAATTTTTAATTAGGGTTAATTCTTATTCCATCGTATTTAAATTTAATTGATCCAAATATGGTCGCGATAATATTTTATTTATTCCTATCCACAACTAATATTTATTTTAATTTATATTTATTTTACCAATTTGTTTTTTTTAAGGTTTATTCCTAATTAAC